TTTTTTACTGATTTGACTATCTTTTTTTACATTCATCCGTCCTCTTCTGGTGAGATCGACCTACAAATAGCTTCTTTCTGCAACTTTATACAAAATGAAAGTCCCTCCAACAATGTTATCTCAGAAGATTCATCGAAAGCCAGATTCTCTTCGTATCTACAACTTTCTATCGAATGGACGGAAATAGGCGAGATATGATAAGTGTTTATTAAAACATTGGTCAGAGGATAGACCTTACTTGAAACTCTAATAAATAGTAACTTGGTGTCAATTCTAAAAACTTCAGGCGTCTCGTCATAGCTCCTTCGGATATGACAAGCGACACCAGTTCGTCGTCGTCTTGCTTTATGATGTGCTGGTGCGGAGGTTAACTGATACCGCTTTGGTGCGACATGGTCACATTTAGACTCTAAATTGCCCTGAAATTATTAACTGATGAGAAAAATTAGGATTTAGAATAATCTCTCAATACATTCAAATAAGTTTTTTTCGTTTAAAAAGCAGGTTTTCGAGACTATCAGAAGACGCATTTTTTATATTTCGCTCAAGGTGAAAAGGGTACTGGTGGTTCTATTTTCGCAGAATCAGATGAGTAGCCCTTGAGTTTCAATCAATCGTTTCATAGTCTTTCTTGCGCTAGTGGTATGAAATTTAATGAAACAGTGAGGTCTACTCAGCTGATTATGGGAGAATTCACCTACCAGTTGCCTTATCAGATGAGTAGACCTTAAGTTTTAATTCACCCGAAATCCTTGCAGTTGTGACCGCTTTTTTGAACAAAGACTACTCTTTAATCCATTGTGAGTAGTGCTTTTAGGAAATTATTAATTTTTGTATATTACCTGATCCTGCTCAGCTTTGGCTTATTCTGCTACTTTAGGCGGGGCCATAGAAGCCTGTCCTCCTGCGGCCAATTTTGTTGGATTGACGAGTGAAATGGTTATTCTACCCTCTGGAAAAGTGAGGATGCTCGTCTGCGGGGACCATTTGCATGCAGGTGACCAATTTTCAGCCTGGGGTCTGTCAGGTGAATGCCTTATGTCAACAGAATTTATTTACCATCATTTCCACAATCAATCTCCCCTTTCAGCGGCTTACCCAAGCGTCTCTTATTCCGCCACATTTCTATTAATTTCATTAGTTTTACACATTTGCACTATTTGTTAATAAATATCTTCCATTTAATCAATAAGTGAAGATGAGCCTGTGGAAACATGAAATGAATTTACGCAGACTGTGGATGGAGCCAGGTATCTCGGTCATGAGGTGAGTTATATGTAAAGTAGTACAGATTTAGAAGAATTCTCAGAAAAAAATAAGAAAAGCCATTATTTGTACTTCTGAGAATCCTTTCCACCACTATCAACATCTTGTTTGGATGTTGTAAAGTGAAATTCAATGGCGTCGTTTGATCAACTCAGAATTCTGCCAAAATTCAACTATCTGCCCTTCCTCACCTTATGCAACCTAAGTTGAACTTAGCCGATTTACGAAAATTGGTTATGACAAATCGGCATATAATAATTAAAAAATGTAATATATATTTTATTATATTATATATTCCATATAATGGGGGTTCACTGGGTCTATTCGTAGGACATA